GAAGTTGTTGATAAGTTTGTGTACCTGGGTAGTTGTGTGAGTGCTGGCGGAGGGGTGACGGATGAGATTTCCAACCGTATAATGAAGGCTAGAGTGGCATACATCAACTTGAGCCACCTATGGCGCCGTCGCGACATTAGCCTGGCTGTCAAAGGTCGGGTATACAATGCCTCGGTGCGGGCTGCGCTGCTCTACGCCTGTGAAACCTGGCCTCTCCGAGCTGAGGATGTGCGGCGACTCTGCGTGTTCGATCACCGCTGTCTCCGCAGGATTGCTTGCGTTCGATGGCATCATCGCGTGAGTAATTCTGAGGTTCGGCGGCGTGTGTTTGAACAAAGTGGAGATCACCATTCATTGAATGTCGTCATCTGGGAACACCGGCTCCGGTGGCTTGGACATGTGCTCCGAATGTCACCCCAGAGGCTTCCGTACAGGTCTCTGTTCGCTAGCCCTGGGACGGGATGGAAAAGGCGGAGAGGTGGTCAGTCCATGACGTGGCGTCGTGGGATGAAGGATTTTTGTGCTAGATTAGCATCGGTTGGTGTGTCACGATTCCCTGGTTGGGGTCCGAGAGATAGCTCAAATCGATGGCTCGAAACGTTATCGGATATGGCCAAGAATCGTAATCAGTGGCGAATGTGTTGCGATTTCCTTCTTTCTTCCCTTCCCGATGATAGCTAACGAACACTGTTTGAACTTGTTAAACATGACTGTTTTCCTTCCAGATGAAGTTCTTTTTCCGTTCTCTACTTATATATATATTTTCTTTTCCTTCCTTCCTTTTTTTGATCTATGTTGTTTTATTATTATTGTGTGGCGCATCTTTCTTGGTGCCGTATTGTACCAAGTTTTTTATGCGTTTAAATAAATAAAACTTTGGTATCGGCATTGAGTCATTCCTTGTATACGCATGTAAGGGGTGGATTCGATGGAGAAAGTTTCATTGATCAACCTCTCTCTGCACCTTACTGAATAAGTGTATGTTAATGCATGCAGTGCAATCGCTGAGTTTTTCTCTGGACCTAATCATCTTCGTCGGGTTAGTCATTCTACACTTGGCTAGATCCTTATGTTCCGATAATTTGACTACCCCGATCTATTTGTTTGATTTATGTGTAGTTGATCTCACGGTTATTGAAAGGTATTCGATTTTTTATAGATGAAATTATTTTGTGTAATTGGCTTAGTAGGGGGCTTTCAGCCTGTTGAGTTTGTAGGTTTAAATGACATCCGAATGCCTTCTTTATTCAGAATCCTATGTAGTATCTTAGATGTCCTTTCCTTATATCTTAATTCTGTAGATACTTTAAATTCTTTCTTATTTAGGTTATGGTTGATAGTTCCACTACTATTTTACCTTTTCTGCTCAGCTGTTTTAATCTTCTTCATGCATACTATGTTATGCATATTACGTTAAAATCAGTCAGTCGGTCAATCAGTCATATTATGTGATAGTTTTATTTTAAGCACCATCGATTATTCTGTCTGTTTCGTTTCATTATTTAGAATTTCTGATGTACTACTTAAAGTTATTGTTCAGTTGATTATTTAAACAATTTACCAAGTGAGCCTGCCTTTACAGATAACGGCGGATGAGATGAATTAAAGTTCAAGTATCAATTAGAGTGGATTAGCTTTTTAATAAAACATAGTGTATCGTTCACTGTACCATCGCGTGCCTTTATCAGATAAATTTAATCAATGATGGAGTTATACCGTATCATAGTGCCCAAGTTCAATCCTTGTTATATTTAGGCTCGATCGTATACTGACTGACTGGTTTCAAAGCAGACCTTTGCACCGATGTGGAGCAGTTCCAGTCGCCACACTTCACTTAACACACAAAGCAAAAGAAGAAAATAAAAAGAAATGCAAATTAGAGACAGTAAACGGAGATATGAGGTTAAAAGAATAGCAATATCTAAGAACCATACAGTTTTATTAGATATTATAAGTCACAGAGAATAGATGCATCTGCACCATTGAGAAAGATTTCGAGACATATCACCGATTGTCTCTGGCCATTGGTGTTTGCCGTCCCGAGGTCTCCAACCATTCAGTCAGGCAGTCTACACCTTCCTATGTGGCGGGCTGGCTTAAACTAACTGTTGTGGATTTGATTAACTGATTAAGCCATGTTTTCTTTTGACCACTATGTGCGTACTAGTTCTCTCTTTTCCAACTTGATCAATCCTATGTCAGTTAGCTAAGATTGTCCGTCGTCGAGAAAGGCGATGGCTAGACTGGGCATGCGTAAACCATGTCCTATCCATCTCAATCGATGTAACTTTACTGCCTCGTCTATTGATTTCACCTCCTTATGTGGCACTCAACCGAAGCCTGACCTCAGTATTACTCATCCTATTATACCTACCACCTAACACGGAAAATAGAGGGCAGGCACCTATGATCAAAGACGCCTAACCAGACTTTTCATGTCTTCCTCTTTCGATGGTCATGTCTCGTTCATGGCCAGCCATAAAGGAGGACAGAGCGAAATGCTGCTGTGCAGTGCACACATTCTTTGGTTGACAGCCAGTCAGCCGGACATGACGTCTGCTAAGCCAGAGATGGCGTGTAAGTTGTCAGACAAATGTCAAATAAGCCTTCTCGATCCCATACAGGGTTGTTGAGACGTTGGGTCTCAAAGGGTTCTAGCTTACTACGAATCATGTTATTTCATGACAAAATCTACTTTCGTATTTAATATAGAATTCTTATCCTGTATTTAAGTTCACAACCTTGTTTATAATGCAGTTATATCTGTCTTTAAATACTACAAAGTATTATTTGGCCATCGACCAAAGGGCGTGTGTACTGCTCAGCAGTCCGCTCCATGCTCCTTTATATCTGTGAGGCCTAGTCATGGAGATTGGAAGATATGAAAAGCCTGGATATAGCTGTCTTTGATCATAGGTGCCTACGTTCTGTCCTCGATGTTAGTTGATAGGTGTAATAGGGTGAGCAATATTGAGGTTAGGCGTCTAATGAGTGGTAGGTAAGGAGGGGGGAAATCAATCGACGAGACTGTGAAGCCACATCGACTGAGATGGTTAGGACATGTGTTACGTATGCCTAGTCATCGCCTTCCTCGACGAGCAATGTTAGCGGATATAGGGTCAGGCTGGAAAAAAGCTAGCGGTGGTCAAACAAAAACATGGCACCAGTCAATGAAATCTACAACAGTTTGTCTAAGCCACGTAGGAAGGTGTAGACTTCCTGGCTGGTTGGGGTCCTCGGGACGGTAAAAATCAACGGTTGGAAACAATTGGTGACATGGCTCAAAATCGTTCTCAATGACTGGCTGGTGGAGATGCATCCACTCCTTGTGACTTATGATTTCCAATGAAACTATATTGTTCTTGGTTATTACTCTTCCTTTGTCTCACACCTCTGTTTACTATCTCTAATATGCATTTCTTGTACTTTCTTTTCTTGCTTTGTGTGGTACATGGAGTGGAGTGTGGCGACTTGAACTGCTGCACATCAATGAAAAGTTGTTCTACGTTGGAACCAGTCAGTCAGTGGTATTGTTTTTAATATGAGGTAGGAAAATTGTCCTGCGATAATTTCAGAAAAGGTTTTTTGCAGTATGATTGTATGAAGTTTTTTTCTGCAGGTATTATTTAGTATTTATATATCGTGTAATTTCACAAATTTCACCACCGCTAAAGTTTCCTTTGAAAGCCAAAATTACTATATATGATCTGTTTGACACCACCATAATTGGTAATGAAGAAGTCAAGGAAATTTGCATAAAACTATATACTACTGAAATAATTGGAAAGGCAAGATGCACCTCTATCAACCTGAAACCAGTTCAGATATCTGCACTGACTCAGCTAGCATAAAGAACAAAATTCGGATTATGTCCAACTGAAATGTGATGTCAGTCAGTTCTTCTATTTGGGTCAGAAACTCGCACTGAATGAACCTTACAAAACGCATTTCCAACCGGCTACAACAGACTTTTATCAATAGCTGCCTTCGCCATCTGCGCATATTAAAGATCGAATAGCCAGGAAGAATTAGCAACAAGAAACTCTGGCTTAGAAGAAACCAACCAAAAGCTGATTGGTCAACAAATATGTAGGAGAACATAGAGGTGGATAGGGGAGGAAACCGTCGAATGACTTTGCGCGCAATGGAAGTCATTGTTCTAGTGGAATCCGGATAAGAGACAACGAGTGTGTGGTGTGGGGCCGAGGTTGATATAGACGAGATCGTGTGTGGAGGAGATGGGCAATCGTGGGCCCAGCTAACATCAGAAAATAGAAGATAGTGGAGGTGTGTTGGTGAAGCCTTATGTTCCACTTGAAACCCAAGAGAACATATAATACATATTATTGATTGAATGAGATAAATAGTTGCATAACCTACTCACATCAACCAGCAGTAATGCTTGTTAACCAGAATACAAGTCGTTTGAACTGATTCGTACCTTCTGAGCTGAGTGAAGCCGGATATACCGGCGTGAAACGAGTGAAACAGTCGTCTGGTTAGCATGTACTGCGGTGAGAGCTGTCTGCAAGCCAAAATTGTAGACAACAATTTACGTCTATGTTTACGTTCCAAATTGGGGTCACGAGATAAAAACAATAAAAAAGCCTAACCTTGAGGAACTCAACAACCAATCAGAGCAGACTTAGCGTGGGCGGATACGGACAACCTTCAGCAGGAAAACAACCAATCAGAAGACGTTGCTTCTGTGCTAACAATAACGCTAATAATAATAATGTACAGAAAAATCTATAAATATCTGTTGATTAACCTCGATAAACGATCTGTTGTCTGACCCTTGTCTTCCGTCGTTACAGTACTACTACTGATTGATGTGCGGGGGATGGGTAGTATGCACAACTACTCATCTGAATCAGTGAGTAGTATGTATAGTTTTGCCATGTAGTTATTCTTATATTTTACTGCTTATTTTACTCTATATCAACTTATCTTCGAAACAGTTTTTTTTAATAACTTTACTTTATTTCTCTTCTATACAGGTGATTATATTGATCTTCAAAGAAGAACTTTAATAAGCAGAACGGTTTTTTCTGCTATTGTGTTCTCACATTTGCTTGCCTCCCCGCCCCACTCTCCCCACACACACCTCCGTGTGCCTATATGCAATGATATCTTCATTGGATAGATTTAAATTCTTACACAGTAAGTCGTCGTTAGATTGAAGTACATGTGTAATTCCATATTAGTTTGTTTATTAGATGTATCACACACAGTGAAACAGTATTATTATTTACTGGATGACGTTTCGAACAAAATTTATTGTTCATAATCATATCAATTAATTATAATCACACGACTTCGAAACTTGAGTTTTATGGTTTTCTTTGTTCTCTCCTATTTGTCATCGTAGGGGTAGTAGAATTTTCCAGATATCTGGGTGGACAGATATTGAATCATTCCTATTACATGTATTCTCTCTCAGTTAATTCGATAAACAAAACTTCTGTTATTAATCTTTCCCTCCACTCTGTGACATTAGATTTTAAAACTGTCATCCTATCCCATCTACCCTATAGAGTATGGCTGCGTGTAACTGCATGTAGTTCTATAGCTGAACTATTCTCTAGATTTCTTATCTTATTCGGGTCAACCAATCTAGATTTTACTGCTAGGTTTTTATGTTCGGCTAATCTGACTGCCCCTGTTCTACTAGTTTGACCTATGTATTTGACCTGACAATCATCGCAGGCAGGGTATTAGATAAACTAAATTGTTTTGTTTCAAAAGGCTCCACAGGATTGATATTTTAACCGACAAAGCTTGTTTCTAAATGAGTTTGTGGTTGGTCTGAATTCCAGCCACTTTTATTCCTGCCAGCATTGTTGAGAATTCTTCGTAAGGTTTCCGAGGTTCCTTCCTTGTATGCAATTACTACTGATAATTTAGAATCCTTATTGTTGGTGTCTTCACTATTATTATTACTACTGTTATTGTTATTATCACCATTATTATTATCATTATTAAACACTAGTGAGCCTAACTTCCCATCTTCTTTCCTTTTTACGTTGCAATCTAACATTTGGAAACTCTCCTTTTTGACTTTCCAATTCATAAGTGAATTGAATTGCCTCTACCTTTTAGTTGATGTGTTCGAAAAATCTGTCTATATCTTGTGTTTTAAGTACGGTGAATGTGTCATCTACATACCTCCACCATACTTTTGGGGGTGGGGGTGAACGTTTCAATCGCTATGCTTTCCGACCTATAGATGAATATATCTGCTACAACCGGGGATATTGATGATCTCATGACAACTCCCTCAGTTTGTTTGTATATTTTCCCTTGGAGGAATTTAAATACTGTAGAACTCAGGCATAGCTAGCTGCACTCCCAGCATTAGGCCCTCAAGTGGCACTTCTGTCCTAAGTTCGAGTTCTTGGTCAGAAATGAGTTCGTTTCTGACTGCCTGCCTCTATAGCCATATGTATTAGTATACTTGTATATAAACTGACAATGTCAAAACTAACCATTTTTTTCGTCATCATCTAATTTTAAATTATCTGTACCCGAGGATTGGAAGAAAGGATACTTATTCAAACTACCAAAGAAAGGAGACTTAAGCCAATGCAAAAACTGGCGTGGAATTATGCTACTGTCCATCCCAAGCAAAATACTAAGCCAAATCATCATGGAGAGAATCAAACACGCCGACCTGGGCGAAAAACTTCGACCGGAACAAGCTGGATTCAGGAGAAACAAGTCATGTATTGATCAAATCGCCACACTACGGATCATTATTGAACAAAACTTGGAATGGCAGTTACCTCTCTAACTCAACTTCATCGACTTTGAAAATGCCTTCGACAGTGTCAATCGAGAGGGGATTTGGAAACTACTTCGCTACTACGGGGTCCCATCGACAATTATACATCTGATCCAACAGTTATACGACAATGCTGCTTGGCAAGTAGTCCACAACGGGAAACTTACGGAATCCTTCGAAGAAGTGAAGACGGGAGTAAGACAAGGCTGTCTACTATCGCCAATGATTTTCCTGATTGTGGTAGATTGGATAATGTGACAGACAACGGGCAATGAGGAAAAAGGCATAAAATGGACTCACACAAAGACAAACTTGGAGAACCTGGACTTCGCCGATGATATATGTCTGATTTCCCACAAACTGGAAGCGACAAGTTGGCAGAAGATGCATCCAGAGAAGACAAGACTTCAGGTGAACAAAGAGGAAACAGAGGTAGGTGATGAAGATTCCTGGCCAACAGCAACAACAACAACAGACAATCGGAGGAACCTGAAAGAAACAACCTCCTTTACCTATCTACCTGGGAAGCATCGTTTCAACTACAGATGGATAGCACCGACGAGGATATCAAAGCAAGAATCGGAAAAGCAAGACAGGCTTTCATTACTCTCAAGTCTGTGTGGAGATAGGTCAACAGCACTCAGTATGAAAATGAAAATAAGATCCGGATTTTCAACTCCAATGTGAAGTCAGTGCTACTATACGGATCAGAGACTTGGCCAGCGCGTCATAAAGAGCACCGCAAACGAACTACAAACCCTCATTACCAGTTGTCTTCGCTCAGTACTCAAGGTTAGATGGATGAGCAGAAAAGATCAGCAACAGGGATATCTGGCATTGAGCGAACCAACCAGAAACTGATTGTGCAACAAATAAGCAGGGAGAAATGGAGGTGGATTAGCCATACTCTGAGGAAACCATCAAGTGGCATCACTAGACAAGCCATTGCTCGAGTGGAACCCGACTGAATGGGATGCGGCGAGTTGGTCATCAGTGCAAGTGTGACCTGAAGGAGGTCATGTGAAGAGGAGATGAAAGCATGTGGGAAGACTTGGAGCGGGGTGAAAACTCTAGCAGCGAACCGAATGCAATGGAGACTTAGGCGGCTGAATCCCTATGTTCCTCTAGGGATTAAAGGATATTATTATATGATAATAATAATAATCTGTTTTAGTTCATAAGAATTAGTTAGTATACATGTGTGTCTATTGTTTGTCTTGTAGGTGATGTATTCCGTGGACGTGTTGCCTTAATATCACTTGTTCTTCAAAATGCTGCTGTTGTTCTTGTCACCCGGTATTCACGTGCAAGACAAGGTGATATGTACTATTCGACCACGGCTGTTGTCATGAGTGAATTAGTCAAACTACTCGTTTGCTTCTTTCTTGTCTTTATGGAGGCAAATTATTCATTTCCTGCATTCATAAATAACCTGAAAGAGAATATATGGAAAGATCCATGGGATTGTATACTGATATCCGTTCCTGGGTTGGTGTATACAATTCAAAATAACTTGTTATTTGTTGGTTATTCAAATTTGGATGCTGTATCATTTCAGGTAAATCAGCCAGCCAGCCAGCCAGGCTGGCGAGCGGGCGGGTGTGTGAGAGGTGTTTTTCTCACTAACCCTATAAGTTTCAAAATTTACTCATTGTTTTTGGTTGAAATTATTATTATTATTTTACGAGTTGATCACGGATTGATATCAGTTAGAGGACTATTGAAAACCAGCCAGCGTGGAGTACTGGACAGCTGTTTCATCCTAGTTCGGGAATCATCGGCAGTACGCACCCACTGTCAGGGTTCGAATGGGGGACCAGTGAGCTCGTATACCATTCAGCTATTGGGACCCGATTCAATGACCAGTCCATGAATTCTAACTCCTACGAATTCGTGATTTAGCATGAGTAGCACCAATCAATGTCGTTGGTGGGACATCCATCCTCACATACTTCACTGGATGGACCTCACTGGTCACGACTTCTCACTAGAAATTCAAGAAACTCCATCGTATAGCAAGTCACTAGCGAGCATCAGATTAGTTTTCTATGATTGGTTTGTAAGGATTGGATTTGTTTTTTTTTCATCCCACTAGTTAGGGAATCATCGGCAGTAACTGATACCAATCCGTGACCAACTCGTAAAACAAAACTAATCCTTACAAACCAATCATAGAAAATTAATATTTTTACTGAACTTTCGCGTCGATTAATTCACACTGGATTGAGGTGCTTGGTGCCTGTTGATATATCGCTCCCTAAGGTGGACACCTCGACTATCACGTTATATTATTATCCCCTTGAGTTCCAGATGGAACACCTCCATTTTGCTATGTTTTTTAGCTGGCCCGACGATTCCCCATAAAGACCCCATCTCCTTCTCATATGAATTCTTCCATTTCACCCTCGGAGGTGGGTACTGCCATAATCTCTATTCCTCCCTACTTCGGTACACTTTTTAGACAAAATATGTAGCAAGGCTGCATTGTTTTGAAGAAGCTTTCGGAAAATGTGATAGTTTGTCTAATTACCAATTAGTGAATGTTTGAAGGATCTTAGTTGTTCAGTAGACCAGAATTAATCAGGTTATTGGAGTCTAGGATGCGAATAAGGTGAAGTTAAAGTACCATTTTGCGTCGGTGGCACAGTGGTAAGATACTGGCCAACCACGCATGTGGTTCGGGGTTCGATCCCCGGCCACCGATGCATTCCTTTACCTCGTTAGACCAGTAATAAGAATTACAAAGAGAGGAAGTCGCGCATGACGCTAGCAACCCCACATCCTGTAAAAATAAACACCACTGCTACTGACAAAATGCAGAGTCTTCTAAACACCTTGAGCTGCAATCTACGAATGTTTGGCATGCGACTCACCCGCTCCCGCCAAATGTAAGATAATGGTACAGGAATGAACTGCACTGACTCCTAGTTTAGAAATAGGGAGTGAAGTGGTAGAGCACGTTGACCGCTCCACTTATTTGGGAAGTACCATCAACCAGTTCAACGGGTTGATCTCTGACGAAATCCCACCACGGATACAGAGGGCTAGTTTTGTATATGCCAGTTTACGACGTCTCTCGCGTAGACGTCATATCCGGCTATCGACCAAAGGGCGGGTGTACTGCTCATCAGTCCGCTCCGTCCTCCTTTATGGTTGTGAGACCTGGCCACTGAGAGTGGAAGACATGAAAAGGGCGACTAGCTGTCTTTGATCATAGGTGCCTGCGCTCTATTTCCCGTGTAAAGTGGCATAATAAGGTGAGCAACATGGAGGTTAGGCGTAGAGTTCTAGGTAAACAGGGGAAATCAATCGACGAAGTCGTGAAGCTACAAAGACTGAGATGGTTAGGACATGTGTTACGTATGCCAAGCCATCACCTTCCTCGATGGGCAATGTTAGCTGACATAGGGTCAGGTTGGAAAAAAGCTAGCGGCGGTCAAACAAAAACTTGGCACCAGTCAATGAAATCCACAACAGTTAGTTCAAGCCACGTAGGAAGGTGTAGATTTCCTGGCTGGTTGGGGTCTTCGGGACGGTAACAATCAATGGTTGGAAACAATTGGTGACATGGCTCAAATTGATCGTTCTCAATGGCTGGCTGGTGGAGATGCATCCACTCCTTGTGACTTATGATTTCCAATGAAACTATATTGTTCTTCGTTATTACTCTTCCTTTGTCTCACACCTCTTTTTACTGTCCCTATCATTCATTTCTTCTACTTTCTTCTCTTGCTTTGTGTGCTACATGTGGGGAGTGTGGCGACTCGAACTACTACACATCAGTGCAAAGTTGTTCTGTGTAGAAAATAGATAGACAGACAGACAGACAATAACAATAGATCTCCAAGTACCATGGCCTGCAGTCACCTGGATGAATGAAATATATCGTGCTTGGTATGATTTGTCTATGGATCATCTGTGTGTATTGACTGAGAGACATTCTTATAACACATAAATTACAACTATACAGTGAAATATCAAGTGTGCAAGATTTGTTGGTGTATTTTTCAACAATTAAGCGACTTTTTTGCCCCTGAATTCTGATTGGTTGTTCAAGGTCACTGTGGTTTTGGACTATGATAGTTTACATTTGCTGCAAATAACTATTACTCCATTATACATGAGATGGTTCTCATCATCTGCTAGGTGACGAGACTGTTGGGGTGGGTGGGTTTGAAACCATAGCTGATACTGTTGTCCAGTCTCAGTGAGAACACAACTACCACCACTTACTCAGCAATACACATGCTCATGCACCCAGCTGACTATTCCCAAAATTGGACAAAACGTTCATCCCTGGTTCCTGTTTTTCTGAGCGACATTATTAAGGAACAAAATTGGAATTATATCCAAGAGGGATGATTCAATAACTGTTTTGGATAACCCTGAAAAATTCCACTACTACTAGTGTAACAACAGAAGACAAGCAAGGGCCAGGAAACAGATTGTTTATTAAGGAAACCAATACATGTTTATAGATTTTCATGTACATATTATAGATTATTGTTAGCAGAAAAACACAGTCCTCTGATTGGTTGATTCTCACGGAAAGTTGACCTTACATCTCTTTGCGGCTGTTTCTTGAATGTCAGATCATCTACATGTTAACTGTATCCGCCTACGCAAAGCCTTTGTTCTCATTTTTCTCACGACCAATATTGGGGACATAAACATTGACGTAAATTACTGTCCACCAACTTTGGCTAACAGCCAGCTCTCACCACACTCATCCCCCCGTCAAAGACTTGCGACTGAAGTTGGATCGGTCTTCTTGATTCTAGGGGCTTTGTTCGTTTGTCTTGTTGTTTCGATTCTCGGCGCTCGCTGATGTTCACTTGTTCCTCTTTGTTTACCATTGCGATTGTGTCTTTGTAACCCCATCTCAATGTGACCATATGTGGTCCTTCCCACATTGAAAATTGTTTGCCTAACCCTGTCGCACATTCGTCGGTATTTTGCCTCACACTTTCATATGCTGCTTTCTTCCGAACTCCCAGCAGCGTCCCAAGTAGCAGCCTCATCGCTGACAGATCTTAAACGCCACTCAACTGCGCAGAAGCCTCAAAGTCCTGCCCAAAGATCCATATGTCTCCATCAAAAACATAAGCACTGACGCAAATTACTGTCCATCAATTTTGACTAACAGCCAGCTCTCACCACACTAGTAGTGCTTATAATTAACTAAGTGGAAGAATAGGAGTTGCCGGCAGTAAAGAACAGATACCACAGTCGGATAACCTTGAACGAACTAAGTCATATTTTTCAAGGTGAAATGTAGCATTTTAGCATAAGGATACACATACACGTAGTAAAAATGAATTATAGGTTGTATATGCCTCTAATGTGCTGAGAATGGAGGTCCCATTTTTTTCATAGGATTAGTTATATAGACATATATACCATTCTAATCCGTTTTTTTCATATGCTCAAAATCCTTCAACAGAATTTCTGTGAGTACCAGTTTTATTATTACTATTATTATTATTATTCCCTTGCGTTCCGAGTGGAACATAGAGCTTGAACAACACATCTCCACTTTGTTTTGTTTTCTACCGTCCTCTTCAGCCGGGTCCACGATTAACCAAACTTGCTCATCTCCTCTTCGCCACACGATCTCCTCCATGTCACCCTCGCACTGATGACCCATTCGTCGCTTTCCATTTGGATTACACTCGAGCCATGGCCTGTACTGCGTGCGATGTCATTCAGTGGCCTCCTCAATGTATGCTGGATCCATCCACCACCGTTTCCTCCTATATATATAGTTGTTGAGCGATCGGCTCTTGGTTGGTTTGTTCCAGTGCAGAGTTTCTCGTTGATAATTCTTTCTGAACTGCCGGCCATCTGATCTTCAGTATGGAGCTAGCGAAGTGGGTAGCTAGTTGTTGATGAAAGTCTGCTGTAGCCTGTTGGAAATCCTTTTCGTGACTGACACGCAGTGCAAGTTTTTGACCTGTATAGAAGAACCGCCTTCACATTGGTGTTGAAAATGCGAATCTTGTTCCTTATGCTGAGTGCGGAAGATTTTCAAACTGGTTCCAAATTGATGAAGGCGTATCTTGCCTTTCCGATTCTGGCTGGCTCACTTTAACATCTTCATCCAATCCTCCTGTAGTTGAAATGTCGCTTCCTTACGAGATAAATAAAGGAAGTAACCGCAGTCAAATCTCTCCCGTTAATGGTGATTGGTGCTGGTTGTTGTTGTTGTTGGTGCAGTTCGTTGGTTATCTTCATCACCTCCATCTTCTCTGTGTTCACCTTCAGTTCTGTCTTCGCTGTCTGCCAGCTTCTTCAGCCAGTTTGTTGGTTTTCGTCTGTAAGTCTTCGAGTTTGTATGACATTAAATATCAATCATGTACGCGCGAAATCCAGATCTTCTGGAATCTTCTCATTGGTGGTCCAGCGTATTCCTGACTCCTCGCCCCCAACAGTCTGGCGCATACTCCAGTCCACCACAATTAGCAGTGTCATCCGTGGTGATAATAGACAGACTGTCTTATTTTACTCCTGTATTCACTTTGAACGCCTCGCTGATTTTACCGTTGTGGATCACCTGAC